GCATGTGTTTTGGCGTCGCTCCATCTGCCTATCGTTCAATTCATGCGGCACCCATTTTCCGATCTTCTGAATCTTTCCCATGGCACGTAGACGCATGGAAATGGCTGGTTGAGTAACACCCAATTGCTCGGCAAGCATTTTTTGCGATTGGGTATCGTCCTCATCCAAAAGAGCCTGCAGTTGATGGTCCTCAACCTTCCTGGGCCGATTTTCACGCTTCTTGTCGCTCAGGTAAAAATTTCCATCTTTGAACTGACAAAACCAATCTCTGCACGTGATTTTCGATAAAGCTCTGTCTCCATAAGCCTCCACAAGCATTCGATGTGCTTCGGCAGCCGATTTCTTCAAATTAAAGCAGAAAAGCAAAGCTTGCCGCATATGCTCTTTTTCTGGCACAAAAGTAGACATGATTACAAAAAAAAAAAAATATATGTTGTTGTATGAAATATCTGATGATGTGCACTGATTAATGTTGACAGACGTCAAAATCATAAAAAAAAACAATATGGCGTCGTCATGTTAACTTAATACGCTTGCTTACACCATCTATTAGCAAACAGCAGATTTAAGCTTATACACCTGGTACTTTTTGGAAAGACTGGACTTAAAATGTTGGGTTTGGCAAGTGTAATAAAACCCTAGATTACTAGGTATAGATGGGCTTTCATTTCGTCATAAAATAGATTTAAACATTAAGAACATATAATATATATACCACTAATTGTAATATATTTTTGACATTCACAATAGTATGAGGCAAGGAGAAGAATTTAGAAGGTACTTTCAGAGCCTTCTTAATTATTAAATAAATATTAATTTAATTATAATTATTAAATGTAATAAGAGATGATACCTGTAGGCCAAATTATGTAGATTTAATTATTAATAGTAACAGTAATATAGCTCAATTTAATCTGACAAGCATTTGGCTTTAATATAACTATCAGGCTTTGAAATGATAATCAATTTTTGAAAGAAATAATGTAAACAAGTATTTAGAAAGTTTTAAAGTTTTTGGTAAATTTGAACTGATAAGAATTTATCTGTATCACTTATGCATGTTGTATGAAATTTCATTCATTCAAAGTTATAAAATATTCTAACAAGGCATTTTGATAAGATTGAATTATAATACATAGAAGACATAGGAAAATTTCTTAAATATTAGAATGAGGAATAATTTATATACAGTGGTGCCTCGTACAACGTACTTAATCCGTTCCAGGTGCACGTCCGTTAAGTGAAACGTCCGTTATACGAAACGCATTTTCCCATAGAAATACATGTTAAAACATATAATTCGTTCCGCAGCATAAAATAACCGTACTGTACCATAAAAAATGAAAATGGAGCAGACACCAATTATGCCGGGTAGTCAGATGTTGTGAGGAGGAGGTGGAAGAACACTTTCTTTACACATTCATACAGATACAGACTTTTTACACATTGCAGCGGGTCTTTTTTTATTGTTTTTTAATCGGAGTCAGATTCAGGAGAGGCTACCGGAACTTGCAGGGTCAACTTCTCTTGTTCCATCCTTTGTTTTTTGCCCGCTGGCTTCTTGAAAAACATGACCAAGGTGGTCTGTTTCTCTTTCTTCTTTAACACCTGTCGGAAATGACGGACAAAGGTGTCATCGTAGAGATCATTGATCCTGTTGGCCTCAGCTCTGTTTGGATAATGAGTGTTGGTAAACTCCTGAACCTCTCCCCATTCGACAAGAAAGTTTTTGTCAACTTTCACTCCTGATGATTTCTTGCTTTGTTTCAATTGAAATCACCTTTCTGTTTTTTTAGAAGCCATGATGCATTATAAATGACTTAACTTGCCAGATTATATGATACGAATAATTCTTTATTAATTAAGATCACTAAACACTTCTACGAGCTACTCTCGCTCCGTTTGTTTTTTACAACCTCTTTTCGTCCCGCCACCTCGGCATCTACACAATTACATTTCGTTTATTTGAATCGTCAACATATATTACATTACATTTAATGTTTATTTAAATCATCAACATATATTACATTACATTTCTACTTCAGATATACTAATAATACATTCTAATAATACTAATATATCCTAAAAATAGCAGATTGTCATTGGCAACGGCAAAAGAGTGGAAACATCATTCGCACTTGTTCGAAGAAAGTCCATTGTTCGTCTCACGTAACTGCCGAACGGAAAGTCCGTTGTTCGCAGCAAGTCCGTTGCTCGAGTCACGTAACGGTCAAACAGAAAGTCCGTTATTCGCAGCATCCATTATTCGAGGCGTACGTTATACGAGGCATCACTGTATATATAAATGTTTTACATCACTATAATTAATGCACCTATGGTAAATATACACATCTGAATTATTTAGAAATAGGATTACTGATTAAATTATAATTTTTGTTTATGCTTTTTTGAGTTTGGGGTGGAGGTGTTGGGAGTTGAGCCACTCTCACCATATACATCACTACAATGCATTTACACACACAAATTTATAATATACATAACCTATTGATATTACTGATTAAATACTATATTTGGTTATGTTTATTAGATTTTGAGTAGGGAGAATGGGGTGGAACCGCCTCTACAGCATCATTAAGTTGCATTTTCAACTTTCTATCATAATTATAAGTTAATGAAATTTGATTTACAAGATTTAAGGACATGATGCAAAGGATCAAAAAAAAATTTAACTTGCTTTGTCACATAATACAAAACAAGTTAAATAAAAGCATGTAATAAAAAGAATGATATCAAACACAGTTATTAAAAAAAAACAATTATAACTTTCTACAACTTATAGTCACTTTTGACAATTACATTATTAAAGTTAGTTACTAAAAATTAAATATTGGATAAAGCTTAAGAAATATTGTGCAAAGAAAGATTCATATAAGATTTTCATCATTTTAAGTTAGTAAAATTAATAAAGATTATTATTTTTATAGTACAGTAGAACCTCCATTATCCAGATTTTCGATTATCCGGATTGTTCAAAATAAACAAATTTTACAAATTTGCTGATTTGCACTTGGCAAATTACGACACTGTTTATGTATGTGATGGAATGCATAACTTTTTTTGTTTCAACAACGTCTCACCCAGCATAGTGGTCGTAAACTCTTAAATATATTTTACGTAGTAATAAAAATATAACTTGACATACGTATTTATAAATAATTTATATTCAAATTACATCATTTCTATGACCAAGGGCGGCGTAAGGCATGGACGACCGCCTATGCCTCGCGGTCCGAAGGGCCTCACGTTTCAAAGTTTTATGCATTACTTAAAAGCCGTGAACACGACGAAAATGTTTTACTCATCATAAAATGATAAATAGTTTGTCAAATTTTTATTCATAAAAATGCAGTTTCAACTGCTTTTTATTTTATAAAATCCGTTTTCTTGCGCCACCAGAGGGCCTTTTAAACAATAGGTAGTCTGTTAGCGTTGGTCAGTAGTAGTCCAAATTCAATACGAACGTTTGTTTCTTGAAAATTTGATCACGATTTAAATACAGTATTTACTTTTAATATTACCGATATGTCATCGAAAAGAAAACGTGTTGTATTATCATTAAAAGACAAATTAAAGTATTTGTTTCGATTATCCGGATTTTTCCTTATCCGGACTATCTTCATCCCCAATTAGTCCGGATAATCGAGGTTCTACTGTATATATATTTTAAAATTTAGATAAACTTATTTTATAAACTTAAAACAATTTCCTAAAGTTAAATTTTTTGATTTAAGAAAAATTCTAATTTTACAAAACTATGTAAGTTTCTATATTTTGTCTTATAAGTTGACATCATAATTGAAAAACTAATGCTATCTATGAAACAATAAAATATTTATCTATCAAAATTTTCTACAAATATCAGATTTATAGAATTAATATTAAAATATCATATTTTAATAATAATGATCTTTAAAATTTTAAATACCTGCATCACTAGATATTAAGTTCACATTGTTAATAATCACCAGCATTATGTAATAAAACCATTTTCGTTGTTGATATATGCAAACAAACATGGTTCTTTAACATTCGGTATCTGAAAAATAAAGATTTATAAAAGTAAATATCTTTTTATACAGTATTTATTGCATCATTACTACATTACTATATTATTAAAGAAAAAATAATGGATTAATGTTTCTTGGCATTATTACAAAAAAAACTGCAAATAAAAGAAAATGAAAACAAAAGTGTATACAAAATTATTACTTTTCATTACATTATTTACAAAATGTCAGCTTATAAAATTATATTACTTCTCATTTCATTTTTCCACTTTTTCTTGTAAATACTTTAAGACTAATAAAGGAAACATCTGTGCAAATAATAAAAATATCAAATGGCATGACAGAAATAAATGTAATACACAACCGAAAAATTACACAATTGTCATCAATATTTTATTTAACAATTATAAATTGAGAAAGTATAAAAAAACAAAACTATTTTATTCAAAATATAATTATTGGATATATACTTGGTCTTGAATATTTTGCAAAGCCATTTAAATTTCTGAAAATGTAGAGATTTACACAAGAATAATTTCAAACATCTAATTGCAACAGCCAGAAGACACGAATAGTTAAGATGCCAGTCTATGACTCTGCAGGACCAAGATGAAATCTGGGTAAACCACCCCAGCAATTTTTTCTTGCCCAGTAAGTCCCAGATGATAAATTCTGTCCTTACCACCCAATTTCTTCTGTTATGAATGTGATTAAACCAACAATGGATATGAAAAAAAGATTCTCTTAATATGCACAGAACAGAAAAAAAACTGACATTTTGAAGTTCAATTTAAATTATATCTATGGATTTCAAATTATCTGGCTTTATATGCAATGGTCTGTTTTAATCAATCCACCAGAATAACTCAAAAAATATACATACTACAAAAAATTCACTGAACCAAAAATGTCAGACTTCAAGGGGGGGGGTCACAAGATACAACTATTGGTTTCATCACAGATGGCTCTAAAATCAGTGAAAATTGGACCAACTTCATTTTCTTAAATAGGAACCCCCATTTTTTATCACATAGTATGATTTTAAGTAAAAAAAACAAAAAACTTATCTAAAATATTTTTTCAAAAAATACACTGATCGAAAGTTATGAGCATTTATGTGATTGCCACACCGTTATGCACATCTGTGTTTATCTATAAAGTTCATTGAAAAAAAAAATACAGAAAAATGCTAAAAACTTATTAGGAAACTATTTGGTGGAATCATTATTTTTCTTCAAATAATGAACTAATACAAAAATTCACATCACAGTTTACTGAAACCATCAAGCTTGTGATAAAAGACATTGATATTGATTCCAAGAAATAATAATGGTTTCCTCATGATTATTTAAACATTTTCCTCCGTTTCTTCAATAAACTTGAGATATCCACAAATGTATGCACATATGATGTGGTGGCCACATAAAACTTTAAACTCAACTTCTGATCAGCATATCTTTCAAAAACAAATTCATCTAAAAGTTTGCTTGTTTTTTGATGTAGAATCATTATATGCAATAAAAAATGAGGTTTTCCATTTATGAAAGTAAATTTGACCACATTTTTACTGATTGTAGCATCATCTATGATGAAACTCGTAGCCCCATTTTTGTCTAATCATTTTTAGTTCAATGATTTTTTGTAAGATGTCTTTTTCAAATTATTCTAGTAGATTGATTAAAATGGATCACTATAACAATCTATTATTGTTTTTAAAAGTATATTAACCATTTCATAAAACTTAAGTATTTGTGATTCTTCAGACTTCATTTCCAACTTAATATTAGTAAACCACCAAAAACCAATTTGAAGAAACTTAAATAATTTTTTGGTAAAACATTTTTTAAATTTAGATAATATATCTGATGCATTTAGATTACTAGTGAAGCATTTGATGGCAAACTACAGTTTAATATCTCAAATTGTTGACGTAGGCCTAATCTATTTACTGTATTTAATGATAGCCATCTGGTTTGACATGGGTGCAACATTTTATCAGTTCAACATATACAAATTCTTGAAATACTTTCATTTCAGCTATTTATTTATTTTAAAAAGAACGTGCTCAGCAAAATAATAATTAATAACCTTGTCATTTCTTAAAATTTTATATAGGTTCGAGGCTCTTTTTAGAACTATTGTTGATCCTTTGCAATCTGCAATTTCTTTCATAAGGAAGGAAGAAAAAGCAGGTGTGTATAGGATACCATACAAAAACCCACAGCTGGAGATTAAGAAAGATTATATCGGCATTACAACAAGGAATTTGAGTGTAAGGCTAAAGGAGCACAAGTATAACATCAAAAAAATTTCAAACACGATGGTACTATCCCAGATGGCTCAGACACAAAGTTCGGTAGTTAAATGGAATGATGCGGACATTATCAAGCCAGTGAGATCCCCAACATTAGTGAAGACCGCCAAGAAAATAGATTTATAAGAGCAAATTAAAGGAGACTTGTAATAATGCGAGGGATGCAGAAGACCTTCCAATGGCCTGGAAGTTTATTGTTAAAAAAATCTGCCGGAAACTCATAATTTACACTTTAATTTCATTGTATTAGTTGATACTTATATTTAGTAGTATTTCTGAGTTTATTTTTATTTTATTCTTTGTTTTTATTATATTTTTTATACATTACTAGTATATTAGCTTCTTAATCTGTTGTCAGTTTTTTTTTTTTTTTTTTTTAAAATTTGAGTATTTGTATTCAATCTTGTGGAACAAAATCTTCCAATTGTCTGTTTTAAACCTGACAATGGCCTGTGAAATAGGTTGAAAACGTTTGTTTTAATTAAATTTTCTTGGCAACAATAAAGGTATTTGGTTATTAATTATTTATTTATAGTTATGACAAAAATAATTTTACACCTCTTCCACAAACTTCTACATTGTCAAGAATTTTAGTGTTTGTGTAAGAAGCTACCAAATTACAACTGACATTTACATCACATTTTAAAATGAATATATTTGGTACATTACCTTAAAATGTGTAGTCAAAGAATTACTAGCTCTTATCATATTACTATCATCAGCAGCAGCAGCAGCAAATGTTATTAAATTTTTTTATGTATGGAACTAATTTGATTGTATAAATTTCTTAACAACAATTTCTTTAACAGAAAGCAAAGCCAAGAAGCAGTCTTAGAGCTTGATTACAAAATCTGAGTTAAACTGACTTGCTTGTTCTAAAACTAAGAGTCAAAACTTAAAATTTCCAAATCAGAGTATCAAATATAAGACAAGGACCAAATCAGCCAGCTTTTCTCATGTGCAAATAAATCAATCTTATAAGACTGATCCTTCCCACTTCTAAACATACAGATCAAAAACAAAATTAGAAGCTCCAAATAAACAGAAAATTGTGTCCTTATTGCTAAGAACAAGTTAAAAGGAAGCCTATTAATTCATTCCTTACAGGGAAATATTAAGTCTTAGTTATGTTTGGCTCTTCTTGTAATCAGTGATAAGTTCTACCAAAGACTTTATAATATCTAATTGTTCGACTTCATTATTTTTATAGTAATACAATAGAAATCACATATTAGTAATATAGTCAAGCAACAAAAGAATAGGCACGAGTCAGTCTGAGCAGAAAGGGTTTATGTCAGATGAAAGAGGTGGAAAGAAACATGTAGGAATTGACAGATGGATCACAGTAATAAAATTTGCAAAAAAAAATTTAAATAAATAATTAATTATGATAAAAATAGTACAAGAACATTTTAAAAATGTAAAAAACAGAATAGCTGAAAGAGATCAGATCCAAGTGTCAACTTTCATGTCTCCTTCCATATCTTTCTTTTGACATAGATCCTTCTAGCTCAGGCTGACTCATGTCTACTCTTTTGCTATAATGAACTAGAAATTATCATCTTGATTTTTGCATTCATCATTTTTCTCTCATCGACTTGTTTCTAGAATGTTTAACACTTCTGTTGTTTTTTATACCATAAGAAGCTCTTAATGGTAAATTACTAGTATTGATATGTAAATGCATCATCCGTAATATCACTCCCACCAGTGGCTAAGTAGATAAAGCCAATGAACACGTAGTTAGTTTATCATGGGTTCGCACCTCACTAATGTGGGCTAGCCAGGTGGAATTTTCTAGGTTTTCTTTGTAACACCTAAACAGGGGCTAGTTTCCCTTAGAAAGCCCTCCCCTTCATGTTGCCATAAACAAACCATTCATAATATCACACTTAATTTCATTCAAAAAAGTTTTTCTTTGAATTAACATTACAGTGACATTCATGAAATCATCTAGCCTTTTGAAATTCTCACATAAGTAACTGAAACATCTTAAAACTCAGAATTTCACATTTTGATGCAAGAAAAACTTTGTCCATTAATGAATAGACAAAGTTTCACCATTATCATTTCACTTAATATTGTTATTTAATGTAATTGTAACAGCAATGTGTGACAAGTTGTCACAAAATGGAACAAAGTAGATTAGACCGAGCCCCTATTATAGTATCGATTGGCATATTTAAATTTAAAACATTTTGCACTATATAATTTTGCCTAAAAAGCATTTTTTAAAGTTGAGAGAACTCCTAATAATCAAATATTGATATAATTTGTTTTCAAAATTTTTTTGAACCCCTCACAATTAGCTTTTCACACCCTCTGTCTTAGGGCAGATGTTAATGAACTAATCTAAAAATGAAAACAAAGTGAAAAAAAGTTAAAAATTATAGTAATTTAAATGACACAGTTTATCATTTTTCAATTTTCACTTTAATTAATAATTTCGATTGTGTGACAAATAGTTAATTTTCTATTAAACCTTCTTCCAGTTTATTAATACAAAATTTGAAAAATTTAAGGGACAATTTAATTCCCATTTTTGTAACAGATTACATGATTTATTAATGAATAAACTGAATTTTTCCTCTTTATGGAAGTCACAGTTTTACACTGACAGATTACTAACAGGATAAATTATTTTTATATAATAAAACACCTTATTTTAAACCTTAATAATTTGACAATTCAAAACATTTTTTTCTAATTAACAAT